GAAGAACAGGCTGTCGCTGAAGCTCTTTCAGAAGAAGGAAGCGAAGCGAGTGCTGGATTTCATCGAGGCGCAGGAAAATGAGCCGAAGGGCGCGGAGTTCCGAGGCGCCGAGATGTGAGTGCCGCGCGGGAGAAGTTGTGAGGCGGCGCCGCGGGCTCGGGCTCATCCATCCTTCATTCCTTCCCTCCATCCTTCCTTCCTTCCTTCCCCGCTCCTTTCGCTTTCGTGTTCTCGCAGCAATAACGCGCTGCAGCACGCGCTCCGTGCAGTGAATTAACGTGCGCTTTAATTAAATGAATTACCGTGCGCTTTCGTTAAATTAACGTCCGGCGGGCTCGGCACGCTGAGGCAGCTCCGGCTGGGACCGAGCCTGTGCTGAGAAAGCGGCTCTGCCGCACCCGGGATGTTCAGCTGGCACAAACTTCGACATCGCGTGCTGAAGTTAGTTCTTAAAACCTATTTAGTCACTGTAACCAACTTCTAATAACTCTGATAAGAAAACAAGTTTTTTTTCTGCTGCAATTCGCTCATTGGATATTTTGGATTTTTTCTTCGGGTATATAGTTAGCACAAACTTTGGGATCAGTCGAAAAACTTATTTTGCTTCAATTTAATATAATTACTTACTGTGTCACTGAACTATTTATATTAAAATTTAATTTTCTGCAAAATGAGCTTTAATGGCAATATGTAGGATCTTTAATTGTGGAGTTGGTTGTTATTTACTGGGGCTTTTCAGGCCCTGAGCCTGAAATCCATTTCATTACTAGTGAGGGAATTTAAGTGGAGAAAAGAAAATGATGGTGAGTTAGAAATAGTTGGAGACTTTCTTTTGTGCCATTACAGTGTATTAATCACTTCTATCAGTAATTAATTGTAATGATAATTACTGTATAGTGTGTCAGGTTTATTGGTTTCTTTTTTTAGATTTTTTTTTCTGGTTTTATGCTTTGACTCTGCATCCAGAAATGATGTGACTGGAGCAGGGGACAACGTAAAAATACATTCTAGGCACTTTTTTTCTGCCTTATGATTGGAAAAAGAAGATAGAAAAGTATCTAAATATGAAATTTTTGATCCATTAAATCAGTCTCCTGCTATTTGATGTGTTGGAACTCGGAGCAGGTTTTCCTCCTGTGTGGTTTTGGGTGGGTTCTGAGGAGTCAGAGTGATTTCAGACACACTTTTGCAGGGTTTAGATCTGCATTTCTCAGTGCTGAATTCTGAGGGGGGGAGGGATGAAGGAGTGCTTTTTGCAGTGTCTCTTACCCCATTTCTCTGTTTCCCAGTGACCAGGTGGTTCCTGCAGCACAGCCCCCCTCCCTTGTCAGCTGTGAGAAAAAAGACAACATGCTGCCTTTTGTGGGCTTGAACAACCTGGGCAACACCTGCTACCTGAACAGTGTCCTGCAGGTGAGGGGGGCTCCAAAAGGGACATTTGGGCCAGCACAAATGGGGGAAATTGGTTTATTCTGGGTGCAGTGAAAAGGCAGCTCATTACAGCAGGGAAATAAAGATGCTGCTGCAGGAAATGTGTGCCCTGTGGTTGTCCTGATTGGGAAATTCTTCAGTTTCCATACTCAGGGCTCCTCCCTGCTGTGACAAATCCTGCATCTTTGTGTGCCTGGGGAGGTGTGGGCTGGGTGGATTATAAATGTGCATTTATGTGTGGAATAACTTCTTATTCCAGTTATTCTCATGTTTTCAACTGTTGCTTTCAGGTATTATATTTTTGTCCTGGTTTTAAAACTGGAGTAAAACATTTATATAACATCATTTCAAAGAAAAGAGAATCTTCAAAGGATGAAGGAGAGCAAAAGGCAGAAAAGGTAACAAATCCCCACATGTTCTTTGTTTGTAACCTTGCAAGCCAGCCTGTCCTGAATGCAGGGAAAATTGAAAGAAAAGAACTGATTTCCATTCTTAAGAAGCTTTTCAGCACTGTTTTCTGCACTGTTACTTCAGGTGAAGATGTATTTGAGTTGTTTTGAACTTTAGCTCAAGTTTTAGTCTAACAGAAGAAATTTGAGGAATATATCTGACCATGCTTCTGGCACAAAGAGAATTATGAAACAGTGCTTGGTGCTCAGGGAAATGGGAGTTTGGGCAAGGATGGTTTGGGATTTTAAACCAATGGTTAATTGGGCTTTTATGTTTGTTTCTTACTTGAAAAAAACAAAATATTGTCTGAAACCCACCTGCCTCCCATAGCAGACAAAAAATTCAGCCAAATATAGAAAACCAAGGGAGGGGAGGAGAGAAAAATGTTAATTTGTGACCAATGTACCTGTTGCAAGTGTTCTCACTCCTTTTACATTGTCATTGCAGGGAGGCTGTAAAGAAGATCCCTTGGCAAGTTATGAACTCATCTGCAGTTTGCACTCCTTGATCCTTTCAGTTGAGCAGCTTCAAGCCAGTTTTCTGCTGAACCCAGAGAAATACACGGATGAATTGGCCACGCAGCCCCGGAGGCTGCTCAACACCCTCAGGTACAAATGCCCCCAAATGCTGCCACAATTCTGTCCTGACATTTCCAGGCCATTGCACTGCCCAGCCTTAGAGGCTGGTGCAAGGTGGATGGCCTTAAATTTGGGGTGGCCTTGCAGGCAGCAAGATTTTTGTGCTTCTTGTTGGCACCACGGTGTTGGAAATTTGAAAATAAATTGTAAGGCTGTAAAAGCAGAAGGGGTTTAAAACAGTGCTTAGGTACAGAAGTGTTACTAAATTACAGAGTGGTTTGGGGTGGAAAGGAACCTCCCAAAAACCCAAGGGAACTCCAAGCCCTGTCCAGCCTGGCCTGGGACACCTCAGGGATGGGCAGGATCCCCTTGGAGCTGAGGAGCTCCACTCTGGGTGTGTGGGAATCCTTAAGGCAGAACCTTCCCCCAGCTCTGTGACAGAGGACACCTGATCCTCCATGGCTTCTAAATCCCTGATTTCAGTCTCCAATCACATTCCCCAGTTAGCAGAGGACACCAAACCCTCACTTTGCTCTTTTCTTTCACAGAGAGCTGAACCCCATGTACGAAGGGTACCTGCAGCACGATGCCCAGGAGGTGCTGCAGTGTATCCTGGGCAACATCCAGGAAACCTGCCAGCTGCTGAAGAAGGAAGAGCTGAACAAACTGCCTGTGGAAGAGCCTGCAGCTAAACTGGAGGAGAAACCCAGCCAAAACCCTGAGAGCAATGGTTGTGTGAGCCCTGCTGAGGAGGAGGATCCCAGCCCGGGCAGCCACGGCGGAGACGCGGCCAAGGAGAAGCTGCTCAAGGGAAACGGGAAAAGGAAAAGCGACGCCGAGGGCGGCAACGCCAAGAAAAAATCCAAAGTATCAAAAGAGCAAATTGCAGCAGAAGAGAATCAAAGACAAACCAGGTCCAAGAGGAAAGCCACGGGAGAAAAGATGGAAAACCAAACGGATGCCATCGCCAAGTGCTCCGGGGAGAGCGAGAGCGCCAAGCCCACGCAGAAAAAGTCGCGCCTTAGGTTAAACTGGTTAAAATCTTCCTGCAAACAGCCCAGTATTCTGTCCAAATTTTACAGTCTAGGAAAGTTAACTACAAACTTGGGATCCAAAGAGCCAGGCAAAGAATATGACTGTGAGTTCGAAGAGTCAGCTGTCAAGTGTGAAAATGGTGACAGTAAAGAAGAATATCATGAACCAGCGTCTCCTGTGGAAAGCCATCATGGAAAAGGAACTGAAAAAGAACCAAAAAAGGAAGGTTGGTGCACAAGTGGATGGGCTTAAAATTAGTAGGATTAAGAAAGTACAATGCGTGGGAAGTCAGCCTTCAAACTGCACAGCCTGCAGAGCTCTAAACACAAAATTAGATTTTTCAGGAATTGAAGATAATTTTTAGGAAAGAGAATTTATTTTTATCGGTGTTTGTAATTTTTTTTCTTTTAGAACTTGACCTGTTTAGCTTAGATATCGAGGCATTTCCCTTAACATTCTGTAATCGTTGTACAATATGTATAAAAAAGGCTGAATATTACCAGGTTTGTATTTACCACTAATTTTTGTCATCCATAGAGAGAGAAGTGGATTTGAGATGTAAAGGGATATTTCTGGCAGGAGCAAACAGAACCAAACACCACTAGCTATGGTTTTACACACAGTATCCTTTTTTTCCCTTAATCTTTCCATATTCCCAACCTTCCCAAGAACCAGGAAGGACTCAGGATGTATTAAAGATCTAATCTATTTAGATCTAATAGATAGCAATTAGAAATGCTAATTGGCTGGCAGGTCTGGATTTTGTTGATGTCAATGAAACACAAGATACATGTTGAGGGAAGGGCCTCAGTATGAATCCAGTACTTAATAATTTGGAACTTTCTACCCACCAATTTATTATAAAAAATTGAAGGAATGAAGAGTCTTTTGAGTTCTGCATTTTCTCTGCAGATTTGGCCAAAACTGGCCAGTAAATTTAGGAAGGAGGAGAGGACTGTGAATGAACAGAAACCAGGCAAACCCAGTGTGGTGCTCCTTGAGGAGCTCAGCAGTCCAGGCATGCTGAGGCACCAGAGCATTGATGGCAACCAAAATTCCACAATGTGACGCTGTCACACTTAAAGCACAAAACAAGAACCCAATTTAGAACAGAAATTAAAGTTTGAGGCCCAAGAGACAGAGGGTCCTTATTTACTTACAAGCAGATGATACCATGAAAACTGCTCGTGATTTGTTCTGCTTTTGAATTCCTATCTGAGCTCCCTGAAGGTGTAACAGTGATGTTTTTTGTGAGGACAAGCAGGCTCTGGAGGGTCTGTGGGGTGAAGTGGCCCTTGCTCAGGGGTGCCCTGTGCTCTCTGCAGGTTCAGAGCTGGCTGTCTTCGAGCTGGTGGAGAAACTCTTCCAGGGCCAGTTGGTGCTGAGGACCCGGTGCTTGGAGTGCGAGTGCTTCACGGAGAGGAGGGAGGATTTTCAGGACATCAGTGTGCCAGTGCAAGAAGATGAGCTTTCTAAAAGTGAAGAGAGTTCTGAAAGTAAGTGATTCCCTCCAAAAAGAAGGGTTGTGAGGTGTGTTCCTGCCTCAGGCAGCCGTGGGGAAGGAGCACGGCTCCTGTTTGTGCTGGCTAAAATTAGAGGCTGTTATCTCCTGTCCTGATTAACTTTAGACTTTGGAAACATGGTGCTGATAATGTTGGCAGATCCAGATAATATTCAAATTGTTCCAGATCTTAACACATAGCTTGGACTGCCTACAATCTGTCACTTAGGCACCTGTTTTCTTCTTAGGAGTCGGTATTTCCTTTGATTTCAGTCTTCGTTTTTCTTCCTGAATAAGAAATTTTGCTTTTTCCTCTTTTTATAAGAAATATTTCAATTTTTTTCTTAGAAATAAAAGAAACAAGAATCTAGGTTTTTTCCTTAGTTACTAAAAAAAATAATTTTAATATTTTAGATTGTTATTTTAATAACAGTCGTATTATGTTTGTAAATGTTAGTCATGTGGTCTCTTTCACAAATTTTATTGATCTATATGCAGTTTTTTAGCTATTTTCAAAAGGAAGCCTGCCAAAAACACATCTTGAAATTGAGGATTTTAAGGGAATTAATTTTAGTTGCCACTGACTTAATTTGGAGCAGCTTTTCCTGCTTTTGCTCCCCATTTTGCTGAAGGATTCAAAGGAAAATGTGTGGGGTGGTGTTCGTATGTGAAGTGATCCTGTCAGCAGTGTGAGGGTGGCAGGGGAGGCAAAATGCAAGAAGTGAGAGGGAACTTTCTGGTTATTTTGGGGATTTGCCTTAATAAGTGAAATTCTGGTCTCATCCAAGCTCTCCATTTCCAGACATGGCAACAAAATTGTGTGATCTGAAAGGAGCTTTGGGAAAATCCTAATTTTGAGTAACGACATCCATTAAGGGATGTTTTCATCCCATCCTGAAATGCTCCAAAGATGGGAATACATCACATATTTCACACATACCAAGTGTTCTTTGCACTGTTACAGGTTTGGAGTGCTCTGAACTTGGCACACTTTGTTTTATTGCTCTTCTGGCGGGATGAGTTGAAAATATAAATATTGGCATATCCCTGAATGCAGCGATTTCTTTTCTAGTTTCTCCAGAGCCAAAAACAGAAATGAAGACTCTGAAATGGGCAATTTCCCAGTTTGCCTCGGTGGAGAGGATTGTGGGAGAGGACAAATATTTCTGTGAGAATTGCCACCACTACACGGAAGCAGAGCGCAGCCTCCTGTTCGACAAAATGCCCGAAGTGATCACGATTCACTTGAAGTGCTTTGCTGCCAGTGGCCTGGAGTGAGTATGCATTGCTGTCCTACCCAACAGGGCCCTGCCCCCACAGCTGCAAATGCTTGGGAGTGTTTCCAAAAGATTCCCAGATTGGAATTAAATTGCTGGGATGAAGCCCCCAATGCCATAAAGGCTTTGTGTTGTTCCAGGTGGTGGCAGAAATTACTTCCAGAATAATTGACTTTCAGGAGGCTCCTTAACTAAAATTTTTAGCTCTATTCTTAGAACAGCCTTATATTTCTTAAAACTTTATTTACTTTAAATATCCCCCTATTTAAAGGGATAGTTAAGTTTTAAGTAAATAAACTCTGAGTTCAGAGGCAGCTTTAACTGCTTTACCAGAACAAGTAATGAGAACAAATCTGCATTTTATGGTCTGATGTTGTCTCTGCCTGAATGTGAGTATTAAAAAGATAAATGTTAGCAAGGAAAAAAAATATAATCAGGAGTTAACACACTTTAAAGAGCCAACACTCATTATTCCAAAATTGACCAATTCCTTTAAGCAGACTTTGTCTCTACCTGAATGTAAACACTGAAATTTTTGGGGAAAAATAATCAGGTAAACATTTTAAAGAGCTAATATTTAAAAAAAAAAATCAATTACTTTATAAACACAATAGTACCAGCATCATTGATATTCAATTACAGAGCAATCAGTTTGGTACTGTAATTGTAGCAATCCTTGTATTTTGAAAGAAGTTGTGGGAGTGTTCCTTATCTTTTTTTTTTAATACTTAAGAATTTAGGGATTTTCTTTGGGATGAGAGGAAACAAAGAAAAATCCATCCCTGCAGCACTGTACAGCAATAACCAGGTTTCTGACAAAGCAGAAAGGAAATTTCCTCTGTCTCTGCACTGTCTTTCCATACAAGTCCAGAATTCTAACATACAAAATTGTCTTTTCATTGATCTCCACAATATTTACTTAAATACTAATTTGTATATACTGACTTAGAGCTGCACACTTAAAAATCATCACAGTTGAGTGAAAAACATGAAAATTATCCTCCATTTGCTCCTGTATTTCCTGTTTCCATAAGGAGGGAGCTGCAGTTGACCAGTCCTCACTCACCTCCTGTCCTGGCCAGCTTCAGCTCCTTGCTCCAAAACACTCAGACCAATTTCCAGGTCAGAGTGAATCCAGTCTCTTGTGCTTTTCCTCCTGTGTCCTCTCAGTCCTTCCATAAATTTTCTGCCAAGAGCTACCAGTCAGGAATTAAGAAGTCAGAGTGGAAAACCTGACAGAGAAACCTGTGGTGAAGCTGAAGCTCTTTGGAAGAGTTTCTTAATTTTTGAATTTTTGGGTTGGATGTTTTCTCTTGGGCCAAACCCTGTCATTGCTAAAAAAACAAACTTCTACTGGCTTTAAGCAAAAAAAAAAAAAAAAAAATTAAGATAAGAATCTTCAGACAACTTTTAGCTCCCACAAAAATCTGGCAATCTGGTCTGCTCAGTTGTGCTCTACTGAGTTCTCTGGTGACTGAGTTGTAAATAAATGAGAAATGAAGGGTACTGTAAATATTTGCAGTTAATAGGGATTTTATTCATCTTTTCTAGATGCTGCTTTGCAAAGTGTTCTGTTTTAAAATAAAGCAGCCAGTGTGAAAATCTCCTTGCCTGGGGAGGAGTCATTCTCTTTGGCAAGTGTGTGTGTGGGGAAAAATGCCAGGCCATGTGTGAGCAGGCTGTGAAGCTGCTTAGGAGAAATTTGTTAACTGGTAACATGTAATTAAGCATTTCCACTATAGAAGTTTAACAATCTGTGAGAAAATCAGCCTTTTGTCTGGTGCAATTCAGTGCAGTGGGTAAAATGTCACTAATTTATGGTCTCCAAAGATGTGGCTGCAGAAATCAGGTTTGATGTGTTTGAAGTGCATCAGTCAGAGCAGGCAGAGTACTTGGCATGCAATTTTTCTGTCTTCAGATTCTTATCATTAAGAAGAACAAAAAGCTAATAGGAAAAGATTTCCTCTCTTATTTCCTCCTCTCCAAATCTTTCTGATGCTGGATTCATTGAGAAGAAAGGTAGAGCCTGCTTTTTCCTGTTTTCTGTGAATTTGATTGTCCCAGTGTGCTTGAGTGGAACTGGATTTGCAATCCAGGGTATCAGCCAGCAGTTCTGTGTTTCTTGATTCTCTTCTGAATATCTCTATTTCTGGCTGCTGCTAATAGGGATTTTCAGAAGATTTATTAGTTCTGATTCTGTGCTCTTCTGTGTTCTTTTTGGTGGAGTGAAATGTGATGGTGAGAGGGGTCTGCAGTGAGGTTTCCCTGAGCTGGAGTGACTGAGGGTCTGTGTGTGTCACTGTGTTTATCTCTGTGTCTCAGGGTTCATGCTCTGCACAGGAGTGAAGCAGAACCAAAACTAAATCCAGGAAAACAATAATCACAGCTGCAGTTATGCCATGGCTGCAGTTTCCTTGGATTTCAGTTATTTTTTCCTCTGATAAGAGCAGTGAGCTCTTGGAAACCTCAGTTTTACAGGGCTTGTCTGTACTCCCCAGTATTTTTCCCTGCAACACCCTCACAGTTGAGTAAGACTTTGAGTCATCCCTGGAATTTATTAGGACATCACAGCCTATTGTTAAATAAAGGGGTTAATTGATCTGGGCTGATGCAATGTGCAAGTCATCAAGAGCACAATCAGTCAAGGAGGCTGATGCTCAGTGAAATCCCAACACTGACTTTCTCTTCAAACCCTGTACAAGATCCTTAGAATGAAAGGATTTTTTCCCCTCCTGGTAAATTTGTGTGCTGTGAACAAAATACTGAATATTTATGGAATACTAGAGGCTTTTCCAAAGTAAATTAGCCACAGAATTGTTTGAAAAATTAGAATAGCTAGTGAACAATCCCAGGTGAGCACCACTGGCACAGCTACAGTGCACTGAGGGGAGCTGAGGAAAATTAGTCACCATCTCTGAGTGATATTAAAGCTACTTGAAAGTAAAATAAGTAATGCTTTATTTAGTAAATGACTCTTTCAGGAGGAGAAAAAAAACAAACCCAACCCTGCTGTTGAAAAGGTTTTTGGTTTGTTTTGAACAGGATGGTGAGAGAGAGAAGGGGGTGTTTGTGCAGAAATAGGAGCAGGAGTGATAACAATGATGATACAGGTTCAGCTGATTATCTTTAGAAAAATGGGATCTCAGAAATAGTTAAAATTTACAGTTTCTGGGCTGTAAGATTTAACATTACAGTCATAAAAATGCCTTTCCTGACCTGGGGGTGCTTGGGCTGCTGGTGCTGGGTGAGGGCAGCAGGGAGCAGTTGCCACCATCCATATCCTTGGGGAGCAGGGCTGTGGCTGTGGTGTTTGGGGTGCTGTGGCAGCAGTGTGAGCCCCGTGTCCTCGGCAGGTTCGACTGCTACGGGGGCCTGTCCAAGATCAACACTCCGCTGCTGACGCCGCTGCGGCTGTCGCTGGAGGAGTGGAGCACTCGGCCCACCAACGACACCTACGGGCTCTTCGCCGTGGTCATGCACAGCGGCATCACCATCAGCAGCGGCCACTACACGGCCTCGG